TCTGAACTTCAAGATTGACAACTTGCAATGAGTACAATAAGTTGAAACCAGTTATAGTCGCGCCCACGTACGTTAAGGGAATAGCTAAACACCTGTAAAAAACTTTAAAAAAATTGTTCCATTTTGGCAGATACATGTCTGCTAGTTTGAAAACAAAGAAAAAATTATCATCGTCTTTGGTTGGAATCATTATCGAAATTGCCACTATTAGGGAAATCATCGTAGTCCAGCTCACATAGATGAAGGAGTAGAAGGCACTTATTTTTGCTCTCTTCGGAACGGATTTGATGACGTTTTGCGAATTATTTTGCTCCATGCTTTCTGCGATTGATTCGGCAGTCTCTGTTAGCAAAGGTTGTGCTAATAAACAGGTTAGTATCTATAATTACAAAAATCACTTTGTAAATAAGTAGGTAAACTTTTGGATGTTTTACATATAGTCCGATGAAATATGATGGCCCATCTTGAACGAAATAATCGACTTCGAATCGAGCTAAAAATTGGTACGTTTGAAGGATCACTGCAAAAATTACACCCAGTTTGGACGAAAATAGCACTAACTGCACACATTTTAAATGGTACACATCGATGACTAAAAACCGACAAATCTTCATATAATGTTCGTCTACAAACACTAGGTTATTCAAATTTGCTCTTTAATTGCGGAAATCTTACAGTGCATCTTGTATCACAACAGCCACTCTGTGCTAGAAGAAAACCCTGACTGAACAGAAATACGTGGCTGATACACCTTAGTTGGAATAATATCGGTTTTTGAAATTCATAAACTTTGTCCATTAATCAGTGTAATGGCGGTTAAAGTGTAATCGATAGTTTTTTATATGTCCAAGCAATAAAACAAATAAGATTAACACAAAACGGTTTCTCATTAACCTGAAATTAAGAGTCAAGTATAAATTTGCATACGATTTTTTACTGTTTGAAAGTTGAACGAAACTCACAAGAAAGGACAGAATCTAACCACGAGAAAAACTGCAGATTAATAATTTATTTTAATCGGAATAAGTATTTTTGTATGCTCTATTATTTCTTTGTCGATTTTCCCATTGCATTTTATTGATGGTACCAGATAGTAATAGCTTTTGAGTTGTTCGATTCTTTGTTTGGCTGTATGTGCTTACAACTATATCTTCTCTAGTTCTTTTCCTTACTCGATTATATTTTGTTGCAAGTCTTGTGTGAATTTTGTGTGGGCTATTAACTAAGTATTAGGTGGTTGTCTACACATAGATCTATAAATTTTTCTCCGCTTTTTTTATGACCTTTTTCTCCAGTTTCCTTTAAATAAGGAATTAGCGATTTTCTTTCTTCCTGTATCTTCTTGGTGAAATCTACGTCCATTCATATATGTGTACCTTTTAGTTTTTTTGTTTGTGTTAGTATCTCTATTTTGATTTACCAATTTGATTGAGGACCCGGGGTGGGCTAGTTAGTATGATGCTTGCCCGCTACACCTTGGGTCGTGGGTTCGATTCCCGCCATGGCTCTGGGTGTAACGTGTATGTCCCGTTCCCCTGTAATTGGGCCTCGGTGCCTGTTGGGGAACGTAATTGAATAAAAAAATAAAATAAAAAAAAAAGTTAAATATGTATAAGGTAATATTTTATTCTTAATTTCCGGACTGAATCGCTCAGGATAACATTCCGGATCATAATGAAATCAAACAACCGGAATTAATACAGAAAAAATTTTGTCAACAATTAACCCGATGTCTTCAAAATTGTAAATACCCTCACATCTTCTTTCCTGTTCTTTAATAAGAAAGATATATCTTAAGAAACCAAAGCAAAGGTATATGAGACGACACACATTTACGGAAGTGAATCGAAAAAAATATCTAACAGTGGAAAGTGTTATACAAATAATTTAGACAGATCAACTAATATGGTTCGGGCATGTAATAAGAATGATCAAAAACAAGAGAGTAAAAATGGTATGGGAAATGGTGACAAGAGAAAAGAGAAGAGACGTGGAATGATGAAATAAATGGCAAGGGGGAAAGGGATGACCTGGACTTAAGCGAAATATGGAGCAAAAAATAGAAACAAATGAAGCCGATCCATAACCTCTACACCCAGAGTCAATGCTGTCAAGTCAAATGTCAATTATCTGTCAACCCGACTGAATTTAAAATGATCGTGGTGAAACAATCCATGCCCCAAAGTATATTCCTACTTAATCTTTGGAAATAATTACCGGACCCCCTTCAATTAAAATTTTATTGTACGCCCATTACGTATGAATAACTGCTCAGAAAAATAGTTACCGAAATACAAACAATTATTTAACAAAGTTTTAGGCAACTATAGCTACAAATAATTTGAAAGTTAGTTAGTCTCAAAATTCGAGATAAAAACGCCCATTCAAAAAATGCCCGAATTTGATTTATGCAATCTCTCCATCACGGAAATCGTGGAGAAAAAAGTTTTTGCCATGTGTAATCAAATAATTTAGTTTTCGCCAGTATTTTCATTCACATGATATACTCACCTGGACTCCCATTTCGTAATTAACGGAAATATTTTCGGAGAATTTGATTTTAATCGGTTTCGACAAAGATATCAGCAGCATCAAATTCATTTTCTTGTTGGATTCGTCCCAGTCGTACCACTCCACTTCAACTAAAGCGTTTAAAATTTCAGTCTTCTACAAAAATTGTTAAATATCAAAAAATCAAATTTTGACACTAGCCAGAGAAACGTTGCAGTGAATTAAAATGAAACAAATTAATCTGTTTTTAACGTCAAAAATGTTTAAACCTTCTGGCCAGTGTATTTTCTGTTCTTACATAATCTTCGATTGCTTGACAAAAAAACTAAATTACAATATTATTCCGATATGGTTAATCAAATTCGTAAAGAAATCAAGTCTAATATCAAAAAAGATTACGATAAATTTGTGAATGACGCACAGTTTCGTCTTCGCAACGATCCGCACAAGCTTTGGTCATTTATTGACACAAAAAAAAATGTAACCAGAATTCCAGGCAAAATGACTCTTGATGCTGAAGAATTGTCTTCGCCATACAGCATTGTCGAAGGATTTGCAGATCTATTTAGCAGTGTCTATTCGTCGAAGACATGTCATCCCATCTGTGATACTTTTGATTCTGTCTGTGATAATAATGGTTGTGGCATTGTGGATAACCTAAACTGTGATACATCTGACTGTGATATGCAAAATGTGCTCCATACATTTCATATATCTATGGTTGACATCAAGAAGGCTGTGAAAAAGTTAAAATCTAATTTTACTTCGGGACCGGATAAAATACCAGCATTCCTTGTTAAGGATTGTATTAATTGTTTTTGCGAACCTCTTTGCTATTTGTACAATTTAATTGTTCAGACCAGTACCTTTCCCAAATTATGGAAAATCGCTAAAGTAATCCCAATTTTCAAGTCAGATGTCACTAACTATCGCCCAGTATCTGTCATTAGCAATTTTGCAAAAATTTTTGACAGCATCTTAACTAATATTTTGTATAGCCACGTAACATCCCAAATTACACACAGGCAGCATGGTTTTATCAAAGGGAAATCTACTACTACCAATTTAAGTGAATTTGTCCAATTAGTTTCCAATGCTCTAGATAAACGTCATCAGGTAGATGTTATTTACACAGATCTCTCTAAGGCCTTTGACATTGTTGATCATAATATATTAATAAATAAGCTTTCAAAAGTTGGTTTATGTAACAGCTTGATATCTCTTTTTCAATCAATATTGAGTGAAAGATCTCAGTATGTGGAACACAATGGCTATCAATCTAGGGTGTATTCTTCTACTATCGGAGTAACACAAGGGTCAAATCTTGGGCCTATTTTGTTCAATATTTTTATCAATGATATTACGAAAGCCTTCACCAACCAAGTATTTTTGTACGCGGATGACCTAAAGATTGTAAGAATAATTAAAGACCACCTTGATTCTTTAGCGCTTCAAGAGGATATTAATAATTTTGTGATGTATTGTAGAACTAATAAAATTAAGATTAACATAAGTAAATGTAAAGTAATGACCTTTTCTCGTAAAACTCATGAAATTAATTTTCAATATTACCTAGACAATACGTTACTAAACAAATGTGAACAAATTCAGGACCTTGGCGTAACTTTAGATAGTTCCCTGTCATTCGTTCCTCATATTAATAAAATCTGTAAAGACGCGTATACCATGTTAGGCTTTATAAAAAGGAACACCACTAGTTTTAAAGATATTGAATGTTTGAAAATACTTTATAATGCTTACATCGTAAACAAGTTAAACTATTGTTGTGTAGTATGGAATCCTTTTTATGATGTTCATGTTAACTCCATGGAAAAGGTACAACGTAAATTTTGCAAATATCTACATTTTATATCACATGGTTTTTATCCTATTCAGGGGTATCCACAACAAGAACTATTAGATGAATTTAGTTTGTGTCCATTACATCTTAGGCGTGAATTTTCCAATATTATCTACCTATATAAAATTGTTCACAGCATTACAGTGTCCTCATATATGTTCGAACAGCTCAACTTCAGTGTTCCCAATGTTTTGTGTAGAAATTTGTTGACCTTCTCTTATAACACCCCACATACGAATCAACATCTGCATTCGCCAATGTACAATATGTGTGTTAGTTATAACAAATTATGTAAATTTAACAAAGACATAGATATATTTCGTTTTCAGCTTAGCGCATTTAGAAGGCTATGTAAAGACTATTTTAATATGTTTTAATGTTTTTCGGTATTCTTTTTAAGTATATACAAGTTTGTTGTTTTGTATTTTGTTATCCTGTAATTGGACTTCGGTCTGCTGGGTAAATAAATAAATCTTAAATCTTAATCTTAAATCTTGACCAACACCTGCAGTCCCCAAGAGTGCAGTAAACGACATAATCGTAATGGCGCAGATACGAAAGTACTGATCCCTTAGCGAACCCTCAAACTAATTTGGTTTTCACTTAAAAAATAAAAGACCCTGTGACTTTACCCAAAAGTAAATACGACGATGCTCATCATTAACGCAGAACCCACAATTTTCAGTGGAAATATTATAAACTGCGCCCGTTTTGCTGCCTCCCAGACACTGTTGAAAATTGTCAGATTTTCATCAGAAAACACTCATTTTTGACGCTACTTACATCTCGCTGGATGAAAACGAATTTAGCAAACGTTTCAGATTTCTGGTAATTTCCTTTTGGTTCGCTGCTATTGTTGCGTTAGTTTTTTTTATTTGTTGCAGGCACCTCTGAACTTCAAGATTGACAACTTGCAATGAGTACAATAAGTTGAAACAAGTTATAGTCGCGCCCACGTACGTTAAGGGAATAGCTAAACACCTGTAAAAAACTTTAAAAAAATTGTTCAATTTTGGCAGATACATGTCTGCTAGTTTGAAAACAAAGAAAAAATTATCATCGGCTTTGGTTGGAATCATTATCGAAATTGCCGCTAGTACGGAAGTCATCGTAGTCCAGACCACATAGATGAAAGAGTAGAAGGCACTTATTTTTGCTCTTTTTGGAATGGATTTGATGATGCTTTGCGAATTGTTTTGCTCCACGCTTTCTGCGATGGATTCTACTGTGTCTGTTACCAAAGGTTGTGCTAATAGACAGGTTAGTATCTATAATCACAAAAATCACTTTGTAAATAAGCAAACTTTTGGATGTTTTACATATAGTCCAATGAAATATGACGGCCCATCCTGAACGAAGTAATCGACTTCGAATCGAGCTAAAAATTGATAGGTTTGAACGACCACCAAAAAAATTGCACCTAGTTTGGACAAAAATAGCACTAACTGCAAACATTTTAAATGGTACACATCGATGACTAAAAACCGACAAATCTTCATGTAATCTTCGTCTACAAACACTGGGTTATTCAAATTTAATAATAATAATAATAATAATAGGTTTTATTTTCCCAACAGACACAAGGTCCATATAGAGATAGAATCATACATTGATAACTAATGGCAAAAAAAAAATGAATAGAAAAAATAATTAAAACTAATAATAATAATAATAAAAACAATATAAACATAATTTCCAACCTCATAACAACTAAACAAAATATACTATTAACATTGCATATACAGTGAAACCTGTCTATGCCGGACTCTGTAGAAGGCGGAAAACTGCTCATCGCGGAAATTTTCCGCAGTCCCGTTTTTTCAAATACCTAATTTAATGTATTTTGGTCCGTATAAGCCGGAAACTGCATAACGCGGAAACGGAAAATATTTGTAAGTCCCAACATGTCAAAATACATGCACCCAACTCTGCATAAAACGGAAGCGAGAACAAAATTGATGATTTCTACGAAAAATATGCAATTCAATTCGTGGACCTGCAGGTGCATTTTTTGTCAACAGGAAATCACTGTTCTCAATTCTCATTTAATTGGTGTCTCTCGTGGTTATATGTGTGTTCGCAATGGTCCAAAAAACGACCAACAATAACAGCAAAATGGATTTAATTAATGTACAATAGCAGCAAAATTTGAGTGTTAAAGAAATTGCAAAATTTCGGTTGCAAAAAACGCAAGTGTATCAAATTATAAAACATATTCCTAAAATAAATTAGAGAATAATGACAAAGCGGTGAGCGTCTAGCTAACCTTTTGCAGTTGAGAACAAACATGGAAAATATATCCCAATGGCCGAAAAAGCAAATAACATTAAACAACTATTTCAAATAATTCTTTTATATGTACCTATGTATTCAATTTAATAAAAATTGATTTCCGTTTTATAGAGGTTTACTTTCCGTCATAGCCGGGTTTCCTGTAAAAGCCGGAACCCTGCTTAAGACGGATAAAAATTTTGGACCCGCGCGATTCCGGCATAGACAGGTTTTACTGTAGTAGTCAAGTAATTGATCCTTAACCTTACGTTTGCTCAAATCATCATGAAAAATGTCAATTTTATTTTGAATACAATTCCATAATTTGAAAGAATTTAACATTGGCGAGTTGTAATGGCGAAAAGTGTTTGGGATGTTATAGAAGAAGGTAAGTGGCGATCTGCTTACAGCCCTAGGGACAACTATTTTTATTTGATTAAGTAAATATTCACTCCTAATTGATCCATTAATTATTTTTTGAATGAACACTAAACTAGCCACATTTCTTCTACTCACCAAAGACCTTTCATTAACTAAATTAAGAAGCACATTTTGATTACAATGTAGAACTGGATATTGTCCGAACATTTTAAAAAATAAAAATTTGCAATATTTGCGTAAGACGTTTTCAAGTAGTGTAACATACATTTGTTGTGCAGGACTCCATATACTACTGCAATATTCAAGTTTGGTCCTAACTAAGCTATTAAACAATAACCTTATGGAGAATATATTACGAAAATCTGAACTGTTACGTATTATAAAACCTAACAATTTTAAAGCACTATTTGTAATATATTCAATGTGCGGCACAAATGATAATTTTGTATCAATGATAACACCTAGATCCCTAAATTGATTACAACGTTCCAAAAGATTACCATTTATATTGTAATTGTAATTAATTAGGTTTGTTTTCCTGGTTATCGACATAATCTTACATTTTGATTTATTAATGACAAGACAGTTTATTGAGCAATATTTAACAAAGGAGTCAATGCTGTCTTGCAAATCATAACAGTCAGACGATGAGTTTATAAACTTAATGAGCTTCAAGTCATCAGCGTATACAAAAAATTTGGAGTTGATGTATTCAGAAATGTCGTTAAAAAATATAATGAATAAAAGCGGTCCTAGATTTGACCCTTGCGCTACTCCACTATTACAACTAAATTCACGCGATTTGTAACCATTATATTCCACGTACTGGAATCTGTTCATAACCATGGCTTTTAACAATGAAACTAAGCTGGCACAAAAACCAAATCTCTGCAGTTTTTTCAGTAGAATACAATGGTGGACTTTATCAAAAGCTTTAGTTAAATCGGTGTAAATCACATCAACTTGTAACCTATTATCCAGTGCTTGAGATACCAACTGAGTAAATTCAAATAAATTAGTTGATGTTGATTTACCCTTAATAAAGCCGTGTTGATCATTCGAAATAAAATTAACTACATGTGCATATATGACATTGGACAAGATACTTTCAAACAATTTAGCAAAATTTGATAATATAGCTATAGGTCTGTAATTATTAATATCAAACTTATCACCATTTTTGAAAACTGGACAGACTCTGGATATTAACCAGCTACTGGGGTATACCGATGTTTTTATGATTAAATTAAAAATATGAAGAAGAGGTACTACGAAACAACTAATACAGTCAGATACAATAAATGCAGGAACCCGGTCAGGACCTGCAATGTTATTAGACTTAATTCTTTTAACGGCCTTAACAACGTCAGACTCATTTATTTTAAAAGGATGTAGAACAGAAGAAGATTCACAGCTAGATTTCAATTGTAAAGATGGACAGCACTTTTTATCACAGAATTCACAACGAATATTATCACAATACTGACCACATATATGATTATCACTAGAACTAAATACCCCAGCAAATAGGTGACCAAAGGCGTCAACGATGTCTTGCGACGATGTGAATGTGTTACCATCAGAAATCATATTTCCAGGGATCCTACTTTGATTTTTCTTATTATTAACAAACGTCCAAAAATTTTTTGGATTATCTTTAATGGAATGTTCAGCATTTTTTAAAAACGAAGAATATGCATTACGTATATCATACTTAATTTTACGCCTCAGTTCTTTGTGTTTGTCTAAGTGATTAATTATACCAGTTTTCTTGTACTTATTCCAATGATATCGCCTTTGTTTGATTGCATCGATTATAGATTTAGTGAACCATATAGGATAGTTATGTCGTTTTGAATGGCCACTACTTAATGGTACAAACTGTGAGAACAAATCAAACAATACATCATAAAAATAGTTGCAAGCTGTATCAACTTGTTTAATTTCCTCTATTTTAGACCACTCAAACGTCGATATTGATGAATAGAGGCCAACTAAATCAGCTTTCTTAAAATTAAAATAGAACGAATTTGGATTATTCCGAAAATATGAGCTTTCAACTAGTTTAACTGTAATATTTATACTTAAGCAGGGATGATGTAAATCTTCACGAACTAATGGGAACTCCTCTTTGGAAATGTTAGTGATAACATCCTTGGTTGACACAACCAAATCAAGTAAACGTGCATTGTGATTCAGAATTGTATTCCACTGGGTGAGGCTATTAAGGCTGAGAAAGTGTTTAAAAATATTGAAAAGATACGACATTCCCATACCATTTAAACAGTCAACAAATTCAGGGATACTAAAGTCACCTGTTATAAGTACTGGGTGCGTAAAGGCAATAGTTGCTTCTAAATATTCTAATAGACGATCATATATATTATGTACAAGTCCTGGTGGGATATATAGCGATGCAATTACGAAGCTCTGTAAACCGCTAGATATTTGTACAGCAACTAACTCTATTTCCGGAATAGGTGATTTAGAAATAACACAGCATGCCGAATATTTATCCTTAATAGCTATAAGGACACCTCCCCCTCTTGATGTTAATCTATCGCAGCGAAATACGTTGTATCCCATAGGAAAAAGCTCAGAATTAGCAACTCCTTCATGCAACCATGTTTCACTTAACATAACTATGTCAGCATCACTTGCACAAATATTCATATAAAATTCATTTACCTTTGAGTTGAGTCCTCGAACATTTTGATAAATTATATTGAAATTAGTTGAGGTGACTTGGTCAATAATTGTCCGTTGGGATGTTATTGTTTTTTTTTTATATTAGGCATACCGTTGCGATATTTCAGTGTGATGTCATTCTCTCCTGCTGCAATCCTTCTCTTGAATTCATTGCGAATGCTGTAAGCCTTCTTTTGCTGCATCGGAGTCAGATCACTGTTGATAAATATTTTATCAGAAGTCCTATATTTAACAATGACATTACGAGCAATACTAGACGATGAGAAAACCACACGAATGGGACGTATTTTTTGATTCGAAAATTTACCAATACGATGATGCTTAACAATATCAGAGGAAACAATACTGTTGTTGTTAAGTACTTTTTTTATTTTATTAAGATCATCAGCTACTTTGTCATCCATTAAATTTTCCTCTGATTCAGGCAAGTTGCTTATTATTATATTGTTGGCACGGGTTTGTCTCTCCTCGAGTTCATTGAACAGCATTTCTTCATCAATAAGAGTTTGCGATAACAACTTACTATCATTTTTTGGTATCTGTTTTATTTCGGCGATTTCTGTTTTTAGAGCTGTAATTTCGGCTTGTAGCGTATGTACAACTTCCACAATATTACACTTTTTGCAGAAAAAGTGTATTTTACGATTAACACTACGAAGACACCCAATTTCTTGACGAGATAGTCCATAACAAGCTCCATGTAATACATCTTTACAGATGTCACAAACTACTTTGTCTTCTTCTTTAATAACAATATTACATGTGTTACAAACTGGTTGAGGCATTATGTTTTGTTGTATACCACTTCAATCAGAAACTTTAGTTAAACCTGTGTACACACAGCACGATCACACACAGCTAACCACGGAGATACTGCCCTTTAATTACGGAAATCTTACAATGCATCTTGTATCACACCAGCGACTGCTTTTGGTGTCAGAAGAGAAACCACACTGAACAGAAATACGTGGAAGTTAAACCGTAATTAGAATAACATCGATTTTTTCAATTCGAAAACTTTTTCCATCTAATATTAAGCAGTGTACTGGTGGTTAAAGCCTAATCGATTGTTTTTTAAATATCTAAACAATAAACGTGCAAGATTAATGGAAAACGATTTCTCATTAGGCGTAAAACATCAAATATAAATCTGCTTACGAATTATTTTACTATTTGAAAGTTGAAGGAAGTTTACAAGAAAGGACAGAATTTAACCACAAGGAAAACTGTAGATTAATAATTTTAGACGGAAAAGAGCGTGTCGTCGAACTTTTGTTTTTTATATTTATTCCCTCTATTTTTGCTTTGTCGATTTTTCCATTGCATTTTATTGATGTTCCCAGATAGTTACAGTTTTTGACTTATTCGATTCGTTGTGCATTTAGTTATATTTTTGGATTTTCGGTTGTAGTTTATTGCAAATCTTGAGTGAATTTTGTGTGATATTAACTCCTAGGTGGTTTTCTACACATATATCATCTATCTATAAATCTATCCTCATTTTCATTTTTTATCCATTCTCTATGTATATTTCTATTCAACTCCACAAATTGCAGAAGGTTTTGCTGACTATTTTTCTAACAACTTTTGTAGATCACGTTGATTATTATTAATAAGACCCACCACTGACCCGGAAATGACCGGCATTCAGGCAAGACTTCTATCATTACGGGTACTAAGACCAAGTAATGATATGCATTGATTAGATTAACAGAACAACTTTCGAGATTCTAGAATTACAGCATACAAATTAGTCTGCTATTATTCTCTAATCTCACCCCATCCCCAAAAGTCCAGCGTAACTACCGACCATTTATCCGCGCATCACATGAAAAGTGACCTACACTACTCTGACCTACTGGTGCTACCATAATCTAATCTGACTGACATGATCAGACTGTTCAAGAAACTTACGAACAATATGACATGTTCCTAACAAAACAGCTTTTTGAATTTTGACAATTATTGAATCATTCAAATGCAAAGACTTTAAATTCTCAACTAAGCTATTTGGAACTACACCTACATTAGAGATAACTAGGGGTAGAATTGAAATTTTTTTAAGATTCAACATGGATTTCATTTCTATCGATAATTGTAGATATTTTGAAATCTTGGTGTGGTATGTTTGAATAATGTTGTTTGTGTTAGGAATAGCAATGTCAATGAGAATGGCTTCGTTTGTGTATTTTTTGATAAGTATGATGTCTGGTCTGTTAGCTGTAATGTTTAAGTCTGTAAGTATTGTGCGATCCCAGTATAATTTGTATTTGTTATTTTCAAGGAATGGAGACGGAATGTAAGTGTAATAGGGTGTCGTATCTTCGATTAAGTTCATAAGTGTTGCTAATTCTTTGTGAATGATTTTGGCTGCGTTGTCGTGTCTAGCTTTGTAATCAGTTTGTGCTAGGATGCTGCAAGAAGAGATTATGTGCTGGATCGTTTCAGGTTTTGCTTTGCATAGGCGACAGCAGTCGTTTTTTATGTTCGGATCTTTGATGATGTATTTTCTATAATTCTTGGTATTGATTACTTGGTCTTGAATAGCAAACACAAATCCTTCTGTTTCGGCATACAAACTTGATTTTTTTAACCAAATCAATGACATCTTCTTATTGACATGATTTTCTTCTAAGTCTTTGTAGAATTTTCCATGTAGTTGTTTTTGTTTTAGCCCACTTATTATTTTATCTATTGTGTGGGGGGTGTGGATTTCTTCGGTGTTCGACAGATTTAAGGGTGTGTGGTTCAAATCTGCTCTTGTGATGGTGCGAAACATTTCATTTCTTTCCGCTCGTTTCAAGAAATACTTCTTCAAATCTAAGATTTGTCTCTGATATAAGTTTTCTAAGTTCTATTGTTTTTTATTATTAATAATATTATTATTTTGGTGCGATCGGGCAGAGACACTGCCTGTTATGCTCGCGCTAATCAAGTGATTGGTGGCTAGAATGATAAAATCTGGAAGAGAAGAAATTTCTTAAACATTGTAGGCGTCACATTTGCGTTTGAAACTGGAAATCGAATCATACATTACAATGCCGGAGGGTAGAGAATTCCATGATTCGAAAATTCTGTTTACGATAAAATGTTGTCTAACGGTGGTCTGAAATTTATCTTTGGACAGTTTTAGGCAGTGTCCTCTAGTTCTACTGTTATGTGCTAATGAAAACAGGTGTTTAATAGGAGACAGAGGAGCTTTTAAGGCTTGAAACGTAACAATTACATCTCCTCTCTTACGACGATCAGAGAGCGTAGGAAGCTGCATCATAGATAATCTATCGTTGTATTTTGGACGAGTACGTCCAAACGAGATTCTTGATACTTTTCTTTGCACTGACTCGAGCAACAGCACATCCTTTTGAAGTGTAGGACCCCAGACACTATTAGCAAACTCAAGGATGGGTCTAATATAGGTCCTATAAAATTTACTGACGACGCTAAAGTGACTTTTTACAAATACATTACTGAGTCAATTTTTCTTTTTTACAACACGCTGAACATGCTCAGACCAAGATAGGCAAGAAGTCATGAACACCCCTAAATCCGATAGTGATTCCGATTTTTTTAACTTGGAATTATCAATGGTATACGTATGTTGCGGGTTATTTTTACCAATATATAGAACCGAACATTTAGATACGTTTATAGGTAGTAACCAGGCAGAGCACCATTCGCCGATAGCTGACAAGTCGCTTTTCAGGATAGACTGATTGTTGCTGGTGTTGTATATCTTTAATCATCAGCGAAAGGTGATTGAATAATAACTTTTAAATCAGCGGTGTATGCTATGAATAATAGTGGACCCAAAATCGATCCTTGGGGTACACCACTCAGGACTGGTCTGTGCTCGCTTAGGCCGTCACCAACCCTCACTCTAAACCTACGATCAGACAAAAAGGCGCCACTCCAATGAAGTAGATTCCCCGCTATTCCAAGATTTTCAAGCTTGGCTAAAAGCCGGCGTTTGGGAACCCTATCGAAAGCTTTGGAATAATCCAAGTAAACAACATCAACTGGAACTCCAGAATCATAATGCCGGGTCCAGTTTGAGAGACAGCAAAGGAGATTCGAAATTGTGGACTTGCCGGGAAGAAAACCGTATACTGTTCTTCCAGAATAAGATGTTGATCCAATAGGAACTTAATGAGAGTTTCGTAGATTATAGACTCCATGTTTTTAACAATAAGGGAGGTCAGACTAATGGGCCGATAATTACAGAGATTGAACTTATCTCCCTTCTTAAAGATAGGTCTCACGATTGCTGTTTTCCAATCAAAAAGCAAGATGCCTGAAGTAAATGATTATTTCATTAAGAGACTCAGAGGTAGAGAAAGACATTCGGCATAGTGGGCCAAAACGGAAGCAGTAATTGCGTCCGGCCCAGGGGATTTAGAAGGTTTTAGTTTCTTCAACTTACTACAAATGACATCTTCAGGGAACTCAATACTATCGAGGGAGACTTTCGGCTTGGGTATTATTGCACTTGGTAATGTATTGTCAGTTTCAAGAGTGTAAGTTTTAGAAAATGTGTCTGCGAAAATATTTGCAACAGTAGCACAGTCATCGGTGATTTTGTCGTCGTCGTCTCTTAATTGAAGAGTCGACACGGGCCCAGAATGTTTGTTACGAATATGTCTGTAAAAACGCTTAGTGTCTGTTGAGTCGGCAAGTTGCTTTTCGTATGCGATACGAGCTTCTCTAATTATGACTGAAAGATTATTGGAAAAATTACGATGTGCTTTGTAGTCGTTTTGATTTCCTGATCTCTTAAATGCTCGCCATAGAGCTCGTTTAGTTCTTACCATTTTTAGAATTTTTTTACCAATCCATGGTTTAGTTGAGGATCTTTTGATGCTACTACTAGAGGAGTGTTTACACACGAGGTTGAGCACTGTGGTCTTAAATAATTCCCAGTTTTCTGCGACCGAGGAGGTAACGAACAACGACGGCCAGTGAACATCGGTTAAGGCCTTATTCACAGATCTGCAGTCAATAACAGCTGTGGTGTGGTGACTGTTCTTTCCTTCGAAAGCGTGCAAATCTGGAAATTAGCCTTGAGGGTGGAGTGATCTGACTTTCTGACAGGATCAAGGTATTCCAAATGGGCCAAAGAGTTGTCGTCACTAGTGATAATTAAGTCCAATGTCGAAGGGTTTTGATTTATCCTATACCGGGTGGGTTGCGTTACCAACTGACTTAAGTGACTATTCAATAGCAGGTCGACTAATAATTGAGAAGATGGAGAACAAGACTGAGAGGCTTTTAGGGGCCACTTTATATCAGGCATATCGAAGTCACCAAAAATAAAAAGATGTTGATAAATGTCAGTTATCTCTGAGATGCACTGGAAAAGGGAGTGGTCATCTTCGATGATGGACGTAGGTGGCCGGTAAATGCAACCTAACAGAAACGTCAACCTCGTGTTTGTTATCTTCAGAAATATGGAGTCAATGTTACCCGTGTCGTCTGTAATGGGAATAAGTGCAAAGTTCGCGCAGATGTGATCAAAGATATAAACACAAACACCTCCACCTTTGTTGTTGTGACGATCTTTTCTAAAAACTGCGTATCCATCTAAGGAAATCGGCGGGTCAGTCACTAAAGGGGTTAACCAGGTTTCTGAAATTAGTACAAATGATGGTTTACAGTTCACTGACTAGGGTGCATAATTCAAAGTAGTGACGCAAGGTTAGTGTAAATAATAGGATGAGTAAAATAGTGTGCATTAGCAGACGCCATTTTTATTAAAAAGATTATACAATAGTGGAAAGCCAGTACATTTACTTGGAGGAATGACTTAAGTCATCCTCCATGCCATGCTCACGAGTGACTGAAGTTAATTCAATTAAATTAAAGTTATCTGGGTTGCAAGCTTTCTTAATTTTTCTATGTATTTTTCGACATCTGTTTTTCATACTTTTTTGATTCACAATCGGGTAAACGTCATACAATAAATTCATAACTCCTTGAATATCATTTGTGTATTCACGTACAGCAAATCAAGAGTTGGAGTCAAACTGTCGCAGGATTCACTCGTTTTTTTTTTTTTTTTCTAAGGATTATTTACTATACTGGAGGTATCACCAGAGAGATCTAGAGGTGAAATTTTGGGAGAACTGACGTCGTCGTCAATCTGCCTTTTTCTAGGGGACTCTTCAATGCTTACTGCGGGATTAGGGTCCTGATTTGGTGAAGTAACATTAGGACATTCGTTAGCATAATGACCAGTCGCTTTGCATTTGTAGCAAACGTCATCATATGTCAAAAAAACACGGTAATTCGTATCATCATATTTTAACACTAGAGAATCAGGAAGAATAATGCTGTCGTCAGGTTGAACATACATGTATCTGCGAAAACTGAGCATATGCGCACATTGTTCGCTCTCGTAAAAGACATAGGTGACACAGGGACAAGTCCGAGGGATTTAATTCTGTTCTCAAAAATAATATGAGGAATAGATGGGTAGACGTGTGATAAAATTAATCGGCGAGCTGGGTTTAATAAACGACGTATACCGACGTCAACGTCTTTAACTTTAATAGAGGGACCGTGACAAGGTCATCAACCAAAGACTTCGAAGTAAGGTAAATACAAATACGATTTTTTGAGATGCTAGATGCAAGCAAGATATTTTTGGGTGTCACAACATTACCTATTGCAACAATGTAATCCTGCATATTCAAATTCATATTCAGCGGTGATAACTGCCGTTTGTTCTTTAGTAGGGAAATTATTAGCCATCATGAACAGTGGCTACAACTAAATAATGTGTACCCCCCAAAGGGCCACGCCAGCGCGTTGGTCGTTCGCCTCCTGCCTATCGAAAGAAAATTTTATCGCCAATGGACAAAAAGAGCACTGATAAGCAAATATTCGAATGTGACAAATAAATCAAATCGTAAATCCTTAGGAATATAGCAACCAGCGGACTATTCCTGGTAAAAACCGGAACAAACAATGCTCTCACAAACCGATCATTTGTATGTCTTCCGGATATCTCCGTTGTTGTTGAAAACTCTCCCACTGAGGTCTCCCCCGATTAAAATGTTTCCTATGCTTCTATTTATTCCGCTTTGTAGTAGTTGAAAGAATTAAATTTTTTCTTCTTTTTTTTTGCGTTGTCATTTGGTGCGTTATGCTATTATCATAGTGTTGGTGTTCTTTGCGTCCCAATTCGCTTATATAATAAATAGTTTTTCGTTATATTTCTCTTCGTTTTGCTGTTTTTCCTTTTATCTCGGTTTACTATTAACCCTACAGCCACTAACCTCCATTCTGTTGTTTCTACTCCTGACCACTACATCGATTATCCGTTTATCAGTTCCATTATGACTTTGCCTTTCTTTTTGGTTAGTCCCAGTTTATATTACATTATTTTCCATAATTTTCCCATTTCAGATTTTGAAACTTGAAGTGTTTTCCTTCTGTGCTTTCCCTGGCAGATCTTTGGTATACAGTTGTTTTTCTTCCATATGCTTCCGCATTCTACGTCCATCCACAGAGTTGTACCTTTGAGTATTTATTTGTTTGTTTTGGTATCTCTATTTTTTTATTTACCTCGTCTTAAGTTTTATACAGTGGAAAACGGTGAACAGAAATTACTGCGGGAAGAAATAATATCAAATAAGGCTGGTTTAAAAAATATTCGAAGCCTGAATCTCTCAGGTTCAAATTTTTCCAGATCAGGATAAGATTCTGGATCATGCTGAAATCCAACAACCGGAATTATTACAGAAAAAATTTTGTCAACAATTAACCCGATGTCTTCAAAATTGTAAATACCCTCACATCTTCTTTCCTTTTCTTTAATAAGAAAGAGATATCTTAAGAAACCAAAGCAAAGGTATATGAGGCGACACACATTTACGAAAGTGAATCAAACCTATGACGAACAGCTCAATCGTAATATTACAGTGTGCCAAATGAAGATCTTAACAAAAATTGCGGGAAAGACGAAAACGGATAAAGTGAAAGTGAAATGATTTGAAAAAAGATCTAAAAGTGGACAGTGTTATACAAACAATTTAGACAAATCAACTAATATGGTTCGGGCATGTAATAAGAATGATCGAAAACAAGAGAGTAAAAATGGTACGGGAAATGGTGACAAGAGAAAAGAGAAGAAGAGGAAGAGCGAGAAGAATCGTGGAATGATGAAATAAATGGCAAGAAGGAAAAAGAAATGAAGATAAATCATAAACTCTACACCCACGGTCAATGCTGTCAAATCAAATGTCAACTAACTGTCAACCCGACTGAATTTAAAATGATAGTGGTGAAACAATCCATGCTCTAAAGTATATTCCTACTTAGTCTTTGGAAATAATTACCAAATCCGCTTCAATTAAACTTTTATTGTACGCCCATTACGTATCGATAACTGCTCAGAAAAATAGTTACCGTAATACAAACAATTATTTAACAAAGTTTTAGACAACTATAACTACAAATAAGTTGAAAGTTAGTTAGTCTCAAAAATTCGAGATAAAAACGCCCATTCAAATAATGCCCGACTTTGATTTATGCAATCTCTCCATCACGGAAATCGTGGAGAAAAAAGTTTTTGCTATCTGTAATCAAATAATTTAGTTTTCGCCAGTATTTTCATTCACGTGATATACTCACCTGGACTCCCATTTCGTAATTAACGGAAATATTTTCAGAGAATTTAATCTTAATCGGTTTCGACAAAGATATCAGCAGCATCAAATACATTTTCTTGTTGGATTCGTCCCAGTCGTACCACTCCACTTCAACTAAAGCGTTGAAAATTTCAGTCTTCTACAAAAATTGTTAAATATCAAAAATCAAATTTTGACACTAGCCAGAGAAACGTTGCAGTGAATTAAAATGAAACAAATTAATCTGTTTTTAACGTCAAAAATGTTTAAACCTTCTGACTAATGTATTTTCTGTTCTTACATAATCTTCAATTGCTTGACCAACACCTGCCGTCCCCAAGAGTGCAGTAAACGACATAATCGTGATGGCGCAGATACGAAAGTACTGATCCCTTAGCGAACCCTCAAACTAATTTGGTTTTCACTTAAAAAATAAAAGACTCTGTGACTTTACCCAAAAGTAAAAGACGACGATGCTCATCATCAACGCAGAACCCACAATTTTCAGAGGCAAAATTATAAACTGCGTCAGTTTTGCTGCCTCCCAGATACTGTTGAAAATTGTTAGATTTTCATCAGAAAATGCTCATTTTTGACGCTACTTACATCTCGCTGGATAAAAACGAATTTAGCAAACGTTTCAGATTTCTAGTGATTTCCTTCTGGTTTGTTGCTATTGTAGCGTTAGTTTTTTTTATTTGTTGCAGACACTTCTGCACTTGAAGATTGATAACTTGAAATGAGTACAATATGTTGAAGCAAGCTATAGTCGCGCTCACGTACGTTAAGGGAATAGCTAAACACCTGTAAAGAAATTTAAAAAAATTGCTCCATTTTGGCAGGTACATGTTTGCTAGTTTGAAAAGAAAGAGAAAATCATCGTCGTCTTTGGTTGGAATCATTAACGAAATTGCCACTAGTACGGAAGTCATCGTAGTCCAGACCACATAAATGAAGGAGTAGAAGGCACTTTTTTTTGCTCTTTTTGGAACGGATTTCATGATGTTTTGCGAAGTGTTTTGCTCCACGCTTTCTGCTATCGATTCTACTGTCTCAGTTACCAAAGGTTGTGCTAATAGACAGGTTAGTACCTATAATCATATAAATCACGTTGTAAATAGGCAAAGTTTTGGACGTTTTACATATAGTCCGATGAAATAAGTAGTTATATAGTGGGGGTTCTAGACCAGGTCAAATGAGGTCAAACTGGTCCAGCTCCCCCATTACTTTTCATCGAGCGGTCATTGACCTTTCATTTGTTGTCGAGCTTGTCGGTGCACGTGACTGACCTTGCCAGCTGGTCCAGCTCCCCCATTACTTTTCATCGGGCGATCATTGACCTAGTCGTTGCTCGACCTTGGTCGTTTATTGCCCTCGTTCATCTCGAGATCTATCCCCTCTTTTCGTTTAGGTCGGGGAGGGATCTCGGACGCAATCTCGCATCCCCACTTCCGTTTTATACTTGTATAAAAGTCGATGGATTCGTGTGTAAGAATTAATTAGTTTTTTGAATTCAATTATTTAACACTTAGAAATGTCATCTTTCATTTCTACCTTGAATAAAGAGTCTCACTTGCAAGCTTTTGTGAGTGCGAAAACTTTAGAAGAAAATAAAAAATTTTTAACAAAAAATTTTAGTAAACTGTCTACAAAGTACGGTGACAAGATATTTGTGCAACTTGAAGAGTCTAGAACGATACTTCCACAGAGATTTACCGAAAAATTCACCGACTCAGTGATCAGCGATCTGAACCAGAAGATCGTGAACGGCTTGAAATTGTACTTGGTAAATAGAGGTCCGATCGGTCGAACCATCAATATCGAATTTATCGAAGAATGAAGAAGGCATTGGTTCATGTGGAAAACAAATCAAGTGCAGTTAGACTGCTTCGTCGTAGATTAGAATTACATTTAAAACGAATTAGTTATTTAAAAGAAGCAATTAAAATGTATGAAATAAGAACTAAATTGAATAATCTTAAGCTGTAATAGAAATTATAATAAATATTATTTAATTCGTTCGGTGTATTATTTTCCCCAGTCTCATGTAAAAAATATTTGATTGCAAACTGTCATGAATAACAGACGTGTTTGTTTCGACAAAGTTCCGGTTATTTTCTTAATAAATGATAAAGAAAGCCGAATTAATACTTGGTTATACGATGTTAAAAGATTTCAAATGAATGTGGAACGTTTCGAATTGCAAATAAAGCCCTTAATCGAAAAAATGATGGAGAAGAAGCGAAAATTTAGAGAAACAATCGAAAAATTGGATTCAGAATTGAAAATTATTCAGCAAAGAAAATCAGTTAAATAACTGTGCACATTGCGGTTAAACCACTGCGTCGTAAATTAGATTTAAATTTAAAACTTATTAGTTTCTTAAAATGTATAAAATACGAACTAGTTTGTATAATCTTAAGCTGTAATTGAAATTATAATAAATATTGTTTATTTCGTTTGGTGTATTATTTTCCCCAGTCTCATCTAAAATTATTTAATTGGGAATAACAGCAACGAATAAAAGCCGTGTTTGCTCCGACAAAACTCCTGTTATTTTCTTAATAAATAAATGTTCATCAGCAACTTTCTGCCGATTTAAGCTTATTTGTCAGTGATTATTAGAATAAAATCTCAAATGTCAGAAGGCGAGTGTGTTGTTAAAAATTAAAAAAATTGTTACTTACGACATTGAAAACAGGCAATAAAATCATCCGTTCTCCCTCGAAAACATTCAAATACACGCACACTTCACAGAAGCCACCATTTAGTTCAACAAAACCACCTTTTTCCCAAATCTTTTCACGGTAAAATTCATAAACCGAAACACGCCGCCCGTCATTATTACAACACAGAATGAAATAACGCGATGCTGTTTCAGCAAATTCTTACGGAACTGGACGCTCTTATCTTCAATAGACAGGGACGTATTCGGAAATATTAAAAAAAAAGAATTATCGCTTGAGGGTGCCAAAGGGCAGAAAGTTTGTTAAAAAAATAAAAATGCATCCCTATAAACTAATGACACATTTGTGTAAAAATAAATGTGGGTTGGAGGTGCAATAATTGTTTAAATATAAAAAAAAAATGTTTTACTCGAAGACGGTAAGAGATACGAGG